TTTGATTTGATTTCTTATTTCAGATCTGTTTGATTTGATTTCTTATTTCAGATCTGTTTGATTTGATTTCTTATTTCAGATCTGTTTGATTTGATTTCTTATTTCAGATCTGTTTGATTTGATTTCTTATTTCAGATCTGTTTGATTTGATTTCTTATTTCAGATCTGTTTGATTTGATTTCTTATTTCAGATCTGTTTGATTTGATTTCTTATTTCAGATCTGTTTGATTTGATTTCTTATTTCAGATCTGTTTGATTTGATTTCTTATTTCAGATCTGTTTGATTTGATTTCTTATTTCAGATCTGTTTGATTTGATTTCTTATTTCAGATCTGTTTGATTTGATTTCTTATTTCAGATCTGTTTGATTTGATTTCTTATTTCAGATCTGTTTGATTTGATTTCTTATTTCAGATCTGTTTGATTTGATTTCTTATTTCAGATCTGTTTGATTTGATTTCTTATTTCAGATCTGTTTGATTTGATTTCTTATTTCAGATCTGTTTGATTTGATTTCTTATTTCAGATCTGTTTGATTTGATTTCTTATTTCAGATCTGTTTGATTTGATTTCTTATTTCAGATCTGTTTGATTTGATTTCTTATTTCAGATCTGTTTGATTTGATTTCTTATTTCAGATCTGTTTGATTTGATTTCTTATTTCAGATCTGTTTGATTTGATTTCTTATTTCAGATCTGTTTGATTTGATTTCTTATTTCAGATCTGTTTGATTTGATTTCTTATTTCAGATCTGTTTGATTTGATTTCTTATTTCAGATCTGTTTGATTTGATTTCTTATTTCAGATCTGTTTGATTTGATTTCTTATTTCAGATCTGTTTGATTTGATTTCTTATTTCAGATCTGTTTGATTTGATTTCTTATTTCAGATCTGTTTGATTTGATTTCTTATTTCAGATCTGTTTGATTTGATTTCTTATTTCAGATCTGTTTGATTTGATTTCTTATTTCAGATCTGTTTGATTTGATTTCTTATTTCAGATCTGTTTGATTTGATTTCTTATTTCAGATCTGTTTGATTTGATTTCTTATTTCAGATCTGTTTGATTTGATTTCTTATTTCAGATCTGTTTGATTTGATTTCTTATTTCAGATCTGTTTGATTTGATTTCTTATTTCAGATCTGTTTGATTTGATTTCTTATTTCAGATCTGTTTGATTTGATTTCTTATTTCAGATCTGTTTGATTTGATTTCTTATTTCAGATCTGTTTGATTTGATTTCTTATTTCAGATCTGTTTGATTTGATTTCTTATTTCAGATCTGTTTGATTTGATTTCTTATTTCAGATCTGTTTGATTTGATTTCTTATTTCAGATCTGTTTGATTTGATTTCTTATTTCAGATCTGTTTGATTTGATTTCTTATTTCAGATCTGTTTGATTTGATTTCTTATTTCAGATCTGTTTGATTTGATTTCTTATTTCAGATCTGTTTGATTTGATTTCTTATTTCAGATCTGTTTGATTTGATTTCTTATTTCAGATCTGTTTGATTTGATTTCTTATTTCAGATCTGTTTGATTTGATTTCTTATTTCAGATCTGTTTGATTTGATTTCTTATTTCAGATCTGTTTGATTTGATTTCTTATTTCAGATCTGTTTGATTTGATTTCTTATTTCAGATCTGTTTGATTTGATTTCTTATTTCAGATCTGTTTGATTTGATTTCTTATTTCAGATCTGTTTGATTTGATTTCTTATTTCAGATCTGTTTGATTTGATTTCTTATTTCAGATCTGTTTGATTTGATTTCTTATTTCAGATCTGTTTGATTTGATTTCTTATTTCAGATCTGTTTGATTTGATTTCTTATTTCAGATCTGTTTGATTTGATTTCTTATTTCAGATCTGTTTGATTTGATTTCTTATTTCAGATCTGTTTGATTTGATTTCTTATTTCAGATCTGTTTGATTTGATTTCTTATTTCAGATCTGTTTGATTTGATTTCTTATTTCAGATCTGTTTGATTTGATTTCTTATTTCAGATCTGTTTGATTTGATTTCTTATTTCAGATCTGTTTGATTTGATTTCTTATTTCAGATCTGTTTGATTTGATTTCTTATTTCAGATCTGTTTGATTTGATTTCTTATTTCAGATCTGTTTGATTTGATTTCTTATTTCAGATCTGTTTGATTTGATTTCTTATTTCAGATCTGTTTGATTTGATTTCTTATTTCAGATCTGTTTGATTTGATTTCTTATTTCAGATCTGTTTGATTTGATTTCTTATTTCAGATCTGTTTGATTTGATTTCTTATTTCAGATCTGTTTGATTTGATTTCTTATTTCAGATCTGTTTGATTTGATTTCTTATTTCAGATCTGTTTGATTTGATTTCTTATTTCAGATCTGTTTGATTTGATTTCTTATTTCAGATCTGTTTGATTTGATTTCTTATTTCAGATCTGTTTGATTTGATTTCTTATTTCAGATCTGTTTGATTTGATTTCTTATTTCAGATCTGTTTGATTTGATTTCTTATTTCAGATCTGTTTGATTTGATTTCTTATTTCAGATCTGTTTGATTTGATTTCTTATTTCAGATCTGTTTGATTTGATTTCTTATTTCAGATCTGTTTGATTTGATTTCTTATTTCAGATCTGTTTGATTTGATTTCTTATTTCAGATCTGTTTGATTTGATTTCTTATTTCAGATCTGTTTGATTTGATTTCTTATTTCAGATCTGTTTGATTTGATTTCTTATTTCAGATCTGTTTGATTTGATTTCTTATTTCAGATCTGTTTGATTTGATTTCTTATTTCAGATCTGTTTGATTTGATTTCTTATTTCAGATCTGTTTGATTTGATTTCTTATTTCAGATCTGTTTGATTTGATTTCTTATTTCAGATCTGTTTGATTTGATTTCTTATTTCAGATCTGTTTGATTTGATTTCTTATTTCAGATCTGTTTGATTTGATTTCTTATTTCAGATCTGTTTGATTTGATTTCTTATTTCAGATCTGTTTGATTTGATTTCTTATTTCAGATCTGTTTGATTTGATTTCTTATTTCAGATCTGTTTGATTTGATTTCTTATTTCAGATCTGTTTGATTTGATTTCTTATTTCAGATCTGTTTGATTTGATTTCTTATTTCAGATCTGTTTGATTTGATTTCTTATTTCAGATCTGTTTGATTTGATTTCTTATTTCAGATCTGTTTGATTTGATTTCTTATTTCAGATCTGTTTGATTTGATTTCTTATTTCAGATCTGTTTGATTTGATTTCTTATTTCAGATCTGTTTGATTTGATTTCTTATTTCAGATCTGTTTGATTTGATTTCTTATTTCAGATCTGTTTGATTTGATTTCTTATTTCAGATCTGTTTGATTTGATTTCTTATTTCAGATCTGTTTGATTTGATTTCTTATTTCAGATCTGTTTGATTTGATTTCTTATTTCAGATCTGTTTGATTTGATTTCTTATTTCAGATCTGTTTGATTTGATTTCTTATTTCAGATCTGTTTGATTTGATTTCTTATTTCAGATCTGTTTGATTTGATTTCTTATTTCAGATCTGTTTGATTTGATTTCTTATTTCAGATCTGTTTGATTTGATTTCTTATTTCAGATCTGTTTGATTTGATTTCTTATTTCAGATCTGTTTGATTTGATTTCTTATTTCAGATCTGTTTGATTTGATTTCTTATTTCAGATCTGTTTGATTTGATTTCTTATTTCAGATCTGTTTGATTTGATTTCTTATTTCAGATCTGTTTGATTTGATTTCTTATTTCAGATCTGTTTGATTTGATTTCTTATTTCAGATCTGTTTGATTTGATTTCTTATTTCAGATCTGTTTGATTTGATTTCTTATTTCAGATCTGTTTGATTTGATTTCTTATTTCAGATCTGTTTGATTTGATTTCTTATTTCAGATCTGTTTGATTTGATTTCTTATTTCAGATCTGTTTGATTTGATTTCTTATTTCAGATCTGTTTGATTTGATTTCTTATTTCAGATCTGTTTGATTTGATTTCTTATTTCAGATCTGTTTGATTTGATTTCTTATTTCAGATCTGTTTGATTTGATTTCTTATTTCAGATCTGTTTGATTTGATTTCTTATTTCAGATCTGTTTGATTTGATTTCTTATTTCAGATCTGTTTGATTTGATTTCTTATTTCAGATCTGTTTGATTTGATTTCTTATTTCAGATCTGTTTGATTTGATTTCTTATTTCAGATCTGTTTGATTTGATTTCTTATTTCAGATCTGTTTGATTTGATTTCTTATTTCAGATCTGTTTGATTTGATTTCTTATTTCAGATCTGTTTGATTTGATTTCTTATTTCAGATCTGTTTGATTTGATTTCTTATTTCAGATCTGTTTGATTTGATTTCTTATTTCAGATCTGTTTGATTTGATTTCTTATTTCAGATCTGTTTGATTTGATTTCTTATTTCAGATCTGTTTGATTTGATTTCTTATTTCAGATCTGTTTGATTTGATTTCTTATTTCAGATCTGTTTGATTTGATTTCTTATTTCAGATCTGTTTGATTTGATTTCTTATTTCAGATCTGTTTGATTTGATTTCTTATTTCAGATCTGTTTGATTTGATTTCTTATTTCAGATCTGTTTGATTTGATTTCTTATTTCAGATCTGTTTGATTTGATTTCTTATTTCAGATCTGTTTGATTTGATTTCTTATTTCAGATCTGTTTGATTTGATTTCTTATTTCAGATCTGTTTGATTTGATTTCTTATTTCAGATCTGTTTGATTTGATTTCTTATTTCAGATCTGTTTGATTTGATTTCTTATTTCAGATCTGTTTGATTTGATTTCTTATTTCAGATCTGTTTGATTTGATTTCTTATTTCAGATCTGTTTGATTTGATTTCTTATTTCAGATCTGTTTGATTTGATTTCTTATTTCAGATCTGTTTGATTTGATTTCTTATTTCAGATCTGTTTGATTTGATTTCTTATTTCAGATCTGTTTGATTTGATTTCTTATTTCAGATCTGTTTGATTTGATTTCTTATTTCAGATCTGTTTGATTTGATTTCTTATTTCAGATCTGTTTGATTTGATTTCTTATTTCAGATCTGTTTGATTTGATTTCTTATTTCAGATCTGTTTGATTTGATTTCTTATTTCAGATCTGTTTGATTTGATTTCTTATTTCAGATCTGTTTGATTTGATTTCTTATTTCAGATCTGTTTGATTTGATTTCTTATTTCAGATCTGTTTGATTTGATTTCTTATTTCAGATCTGTTTGATTTGATTTCTTATTTCAGATCTGTTTGATTTGATTTCTTATTTCAGATCTGTTTGATTTGATTTCTTATTTCAGATCTGTTTGATTTGATTTCTTATTTCAGATCTGTTTGATTTGATTTCTTATTTCAGATCTGTTTGATTTGATTTCTTATTTCAGATCTGTTTGATTTGATTTCTTATTTCAGATCTGTTTGATTTGATTTCTTATTTCAGATCTGTTTGATTTGATTTCTTATTTCAGATCTGTTTGATTTGATTTCTTATTTCAGATCTGTTTGATTTGATTTCTTATTTCAGATCTGTTTGATTTGATTTCTTATTTCAGATCTGTTTGATTTGATTTCTTATTTCAGATCTGTTTGATTTGATTTCTTATTTCAGATCTGTTTGATTTGATTTCTTATTTCAGATCTGTTTGATTTGATTTCTTATTTCAGATCTGTTTGATTTGATTTCTTATTTCAGATCTGTTTGATTTGATTTCTTATTTCAGATCTGTTTGATTTGATTTCTTATTTCAGATCTGTTTGATTTGATTTCTTATTTCAGATCTGTTTGATTTGATTTCTTATTTCAGATCTGTTTGATTTGATTTCTTATTTCAGATCTGTTTGATTTGATTTCTTATTTCAGATCTGTTTGATTTGATTTCTTATTTCAGATCTGTTTGATTTGATTTCTTATTTCAGATCTGTTTGATTTGATTTCTTATTTCAGATCTGTTTGATTTGATTTCTTATTTCAGATCTGTTTGATTTGATTTCTTATTTCAGATCTGTTTGATTTGATTTCTTATTTCAGATCTGTTTGATTTGATTTCTTATTTCAGATCTGTTTGATTTGATTTCTTATTTCAGATCTGTTTGATTTGATTTCTTATTTCAGATCTGTTTGATTTGATTTCTTATTTCAGATCTGTTTGATTTGATTTCTTATTTCAGATCTGTTTGATTTGATTTCTTATTTCAGATCTGTTTGATTTGATTTCTTATTTCAGATCTGTTTGATTTGATTTCTTATTTCAGATCTGTTTGATTTGATTTCTTATTTCAGATCTGTTTGATTTGATTTCTTATTTCAGATCTGTTTGATTTGATTTCTTATTTCAGATCTGTTTGATTTGATTTCTTATTTCAGATCTGTTTGATTTGATTTCTTATTTCAGATCTGTTTGATTTGATTTCTTATTTCAGATCTGTTTGATTTGATTTCTTATTTCAGATCTGTTTGATTTTGATTTCTTATTTCAGATCTGTTTGATTTTGATTTCTTATTTCAGATCTGTTTGATTTGATTTCTTATCTCTTATGTTTTTGGCTTTTGTGATAGGAGACTTTGATAATGTGGAGTTTTTGTGATCTTTGAGAGGTAAACTGTATTTAAGGCATTGATTGTGGAATGAAAGTGTATTGACAGAATGTATGTGTTTTGTTATTATTATTATTATTGTTGTTGCTGTTGTTGTTATTATTGTTATAATTTTTTTTTTCATTATTATATGATTATGATTATGTTTATGTATTTAATTTTTAACTTTTTTTGACATGTTTTTGCTTGAATTAGTTCTTTGTTTTGAAATGTAGTCTTTTTAACTGGCCTCAAATAAGTGTTCCATATAAATTTAGTGTAAACTGAATAGAGAATGTTAGTTATTAGAAATGATAACCATCTAAGTGAGGGAAGATGACACTGAGGATCAGACTTATTATTAAGAACTGAGGCTATATGGTTTGTCTAAATATTTTTGTTACCTTTATTAGTCCTTTATTAAGATTGGAACATTCTATCCTCATTACATGGTTAGTCTTGGAAAACAATACTAGCAGGTTTATTAAAATTTGTTTTCTGATATGTGATTTCAGGGAGCTTATGAAGAAAGCATTACCAGTGCTGGTTAACATTTTAGAAAAAGAAGCGCGGGGCTGGTTCCTGCACTTTAGAGAAAAAGTTGTGGCTGATCTCAAGGCACAAAATCTTAGTGAATATGAGGTTGAAAAGGTGAGTAGCTATCTTGTTTATTACTTTGATTTTTTTTGCTTTTTTTTGCTTGTTCTTTCTAACAAGGTATCAGTGTACTATTCTCCATGTTTCCCATCAGTGAAATACAATAGGATGTATTGTATTGCCATGGTTATTATAGGTAACTGAAAAAGAAATATTTTTTGCATGAAAAGGATGATATTATCCTCTTAAAATGTGCTTCTTTATCTTACAGGAGGGAAACCGTTTAGTGCAAGAGGAGTATTTAGGCAGAGTGTATACTGCAATCCTAGCTCATCCAACTCTACAGGAGCTGGCACCCACTGTCCCACAATTACTTGTCAATCATGCTAAGGGTGTTCTGCTGATGCACAGGTGAATTTTGATACTCAGTCTAGCTAGACTTTTCATTTTGGTATCAGACTGTATGATGTTTTCTGTAGTGTTTTTGTGAACAGAACTGAAGTCCATTTGATAGGCACCTGAATATATATGGTAATTAGGATAGGCAGCTGAAGATATATGGTAATTATATTAATATTCCAGAGCACTGGATGAAGTGGAGAGAATATACGAAGAAGGAGAAAGGTCCCGTCGAGAAGAGCTCAAACACACGCATCCAATTTTTTCTCGAATTGACCCTTGGCTCTCGGATCAGTTGAGAGCCACGCATGATGCCCTCACAGAACAGCACAAGTGGCGACCACATGAACATGCCCTGGCACTGTGTAGGGAAAATGATCTCCAGCAGCATGCTTATTTCCTGCAGAGGGATTTGGCATTTATGAGAGAGGTACATCCTGTTTGCAATGATTTAATGTTTTTGATCTATATGACTTGAAATAGTCAAATTACTCTCATTATTTTCCTTAGATTGTATAATTATGTAGAGATCACTAGTCTAATAGAAAACTGCTTTTCTTACCCTAATGAGCAATATTTTTACAGCGGGAACCAGTATTGTTGAATGAACTGAAGAATTTAAAGGTTGCAATGAGAGTGTTCCAGTGGCGAGCTCAAGTCTGGTTTCCAAGCAACTACATAGTCAGTAGAAGTTTTCAAGGAGAAAGCGAAATTATACCAACCGTCTTGGCCTCATCGCCTACATCCATTACAACTCCTCGAACAGACCCAAATCATCCTGTTTACCTACTAGAAAAACAGGTACTGCAGTTTAGAAGCATTAGTTTGTAATGAGATAATGAGTACTAGAGTATTTTGAAAGAATTCTATGTATCTCTGATGAGACTTCATATAAGTTCAGTATTGACTTGCTTATGTTAAAGATATGATAGATCCAAACTTTTGATTTGTTGAATGATGACTGAAGACAAAAATTTTATGTCAAGAACAGGATTACTACCCATTATTATGATTTACATGATAATTAATTTTTTCTTTCTTTCTCTCCTTTCCACAGCTGATTAGAACAACATCGACACGGTGGCCCTTCTGGCGATGGTGTAACTTTGTTCACAGGGCTTGGGCTTGGACATGCAATGCTCTGTTCTTCTTTGGGGCAAGTTGCTGATCTCAGTTACTAGTTTTTAAGTTTTGTTATTGTGTAAGCATTGCTTTTGATGTAAAATTGTTGTGTCATGATTTTAATTTGAGTTTTTTTTTCCAGGTTTGGCTACCATTGTGTTCACCAGTCAGTCTTAGAGCACTTCTGTGTCAAGATCCTTTCATGTCCGACTTTGAGTTATCACAGGTACATATAACTGTGGTTTTGATGGAGGAATATGTACTGTTGTTGCCGCTTCAACTTGGTATTTGTTAATCAAGTATAATCATGATAGATAGAATTTACTCAAGTAGAACTTATGAGATTTTGGATTGCATTTGTAGAAAAAAATCATGATGGAAGCTTCTTTTATAAAAATAAGGAATATTTATACTTACAATAAGGATGAGATGATAAGGTGGATAGAAAGTATTTTGAAAAATTAGATGAATTGTGATTTCATAAATAAGAATATTTTAAGGAAAAAAGTTCAATAGATATAAAAGTGGAGATTTTTTTTTTTTTTTTTTTTTTTTTTTTTTTTTTTTTTTTTTTTTTTTTTTTTTTTTTTTTTTTTTTTTTTTTTTTTTTTTTTTTTTTTTTTTTTTTTTTTTTTTTTTTTTTTTTTTTTTTTTTTTTTTTTTTTTTTTTTTTTTTTTTTTTTTTTTTTTTTTTTTTTTTTTTTTTTTTTTTTTTTTTTTTTTTTTTTTTTTTTTTTTTTTTTTTTTTTTTTTTTTTTTTTTTTTTTTTTTTTTTTTTTTTTTTTTTTTTTTTTTTTTTTTTTTTTTTTTTTTTTTTTTTTTTTTTTTTTTTTTTTTTTTTTTTTTTTTTTTTTTTTTTTTTTTTTTTTTTTTTTTTTTTTTTTTTTTTTTTTTTTTTTTTTTTTTTTTTTTTTTTTTTTTTTTTTTTTTTTTTTTTTTTTTTTTTTTTTTTTTTTTTTTTTTTTTTTTTTTTTTTTTTTTTTTTTTTTTTTTTTTTTTTTTTTTTTTTTTTTTTTTTTTTTTTTTTTTTTTTTTTTTTTTTTTTTTTTTTTTTTTTTTTTTTTTTTTTTTTTTTTTTTTTTTTTTTTTTTTTTTTTTTTTTTTTTTTTTTTTTTTTTTTTTTTTTTTTTTTTTTTTTTTTTTTTTTTTTTTTTTTTTTTTTTTTTTTTTTTTTTTTTTTTTTTTTTTTTTTTTTTTTTTTTTTTTTTTTTTTTTTTTTTTTTTTTTTTTTTTTTTTTTTTTTTTTTTTTTTTTTTTTTTTTTTTTTTTTTTTTTTTTTTTTTTTTTTTTTTTTTTTTTTTTTTTTTTTTTTTTTTTTTTTTTTTTTTTTTTTTTTTTTTTTTTTTTTTTTTTTTTTTTTTTTTTTTTTTTTTTTTTTTTTTTTTTTTTTTTTTTTTTTTTTTTTTTTTTTTTTTTTTTTTTTTTTTTTTTTTTTTTTTTTTTTTTTTTTTTTTTTTTTTTTTTTTTTTTTTTTTTTTTTTTTTTTTTTTTTTTTTTTTTTTTTTTTTTTTTTTTTTTTTTTTTTTTTTTTTTTTTTTTTTTTTTTTTTTTTTTTTTTTTTTTTTTTTTTTTTTTTTTTTTTTTTTTTTTTTTTTTTTTTTTTTTTTTTTTTTTTTTTTTTTTTTTTTTTTTTTTTTTTTTTTTTTTTTTTTTTTTTTTTTTTTTTTTTTTTTTTTTTTTTTTTTTTTTTTTTTTTTTTTTTTTTTTTTTTTTTTTTTTTTTTTTTTTTTTTTTTTTTTTTTTTTTTTTTTTTTTTTTTTTTTTTTTTTTTTTTTTTTTTTTTTTTTTTTTTTTTTTTTTTTTTTTTTTTTTTTTTTTTTTTTTTTTTTTTTTTTTTTTTTTTTTTTTTTTTTTTTTTTTTTTTTTTTTTTTTTTTTTTTTTTTTTTTTTTTTTTTTTTTTTTTTTTTTTTTTTTTTTTTTTTTTTTTTTTTTTTTTTTTTTTTTTTTTTTTTTTTTTTTTTTTTTTTTTTTTTTTTTTTTTTTTTTTTTTTTTTTTTTTTTTTTTTTTTTTTTTTTTTTTTTTTTTTTTTTTTTTTTTTTTTTTTTTTTTTTTTTTTTTTTTTTTTTTTTTTTTTTTTTTTTTTTTTTTTTTTTTTTTTTTTTTTTTTTTTTTTTTTTTTTTTTTTTTTTTTTTTTTTTTTTTTTTTTTTTTTTTTTTTTTTTTTTTTTTTTTTTTTTTTTTTTTTTTTTTTTTTTTTTTTTTTTTTTTTTTTTTTTTTTTTTTTTTTTTTTTTTTTTTTTTTTTTTTTTTTTTTTTTTTTTTTTTTTTTTTTTTTTTTTTTTTTTTTTTTTTTTTTTTTTTTTTTTTTTTTTTTTTTTTTTTTTTTTTTTTTTTTTTTTTTTTTTTTTTTTTTTTTTTTTTTTTTTTTTTTTTTTTTTTTTTTTTTTTTTTTTTTTTTTTTTTTTTTTTTTTTTTTTTTTTTTTTTTTTTTTTTTTTTTTTTTTTTTTTTTTTTTTTTTTTTTTTTTTTTTTTTTTTTTTTTTTTTTTTTTTTTTTTTTTTTTTTTTTTTTTTTTTTTTTTTTTTTTTTTTTTTTTTTTTTTTTTTTTTTTTTTTTTTTTTTTTTTTTTTTTTTTTTTTTTTTTTTTTTTTTTTTTTTTTTTTTTTTTTTTTTTTTTTTTTTTTTTTTTTTTTTTTTTTTTTTTTTTTTTTTTTTTTTTTTTTTTTTTTTTTTTTTTTTTTTTTTTTTTTTTTTTTTTTTTTTTTTTTTTTTTTTTTTTCCCGCCAATTCAAGGAAAGGTGAAATCAGGACTAGCAGAGCCATCTATGAGTACTGAAATTAACCTAATCTTTTATTGGCAGGCTTCATTGGTAAAGGAGTTACAAGACATATGAATCGTGCTTGGAACTATGTCATGAAGGGCATTGTTGGCACATTACTTCTCACAACTGTTTTCCCTCTCACTTGTCTTCTTGTATCTATGGGATCAATGGCGATTGCTATTGCTGCACCCTTCTGGTAAGGCCTAGATTCTTTGTGATTTATGTGAGCAGTTTTTATTTAGGTAATGCTGATTCATTGATTGATTGAGTGATTGATTCATTGATTCATTGATTCATTTTATAATTATTTATTATATAACTGTACATATACTTTTCAGGGTCCCTGCATGTGTTCTCCTTACTCACATTGTCTGCATAATCATCTATGACTTGGACTCCCCCACGGGTATGAGGAAGTGGAGTCCAGTTATACAGGCAGTTGGACTTCATGTCATCATTCTGGGCATCTTGCAACCAGTACTAGCATTCCTCACTGCAACAGTTGTTTGTCCAATATTTGCTGCCATCGTTCTGCTGTGTAAGAATTTTTGTCTTGAATACATTCCATGGACTTACATGAAAAACAAAAAAAATATTTGAAAATAATACAGAATTATATTTGTCTTACAAATTAGTATGCACTTAACCCATTGCCGCCGGGGATGGCATGTATGTACATGCCATGCCCACTGTGAATCGACTTGTTTGATTGTTTATACACATAGATGGCTACACTTGTACTAAGTATCCAATGAGGCAATTACAGTACTGCCTGTGTCGCCCGTTCACCCTGTTCATCAATTTACAAAAATATTTAACGTTATCCTAATTTGCTGTTAAAAATAACACCATCTATATTTATTGCACTAGTAAGAATACGTTTTTTCCCGCCAATTCAAGGAAAGGTGAAATCAGGACTAGCAGAGCCATCTATGAGTACTGCATTTCCCCCATTTTTTGTTCATTTTCCCCGGTGGCAATGGGTTAAGGAGTATTGTTCATATTATACAAAAAAAAATAACAGATTTTAATTTTTCTTGCATTTCTGGCAGATGGATTGTTCCGTAGAGGATCACGACACTTTTGGGATACAGTAATGTTTCATTCAGTTATCAAGAAAAGGGGCAGAATCCCAGCCTCTGATAGCTTCCTGGTCAAACGCATTGCTGGCCCTGGGCTTCACAACAACTTCTTCTATCAGGTTGGTTTACAATGTGCTTGCATCGTGCTGTAAAGTTTGTGTGGATTTCTTTTAAATTGTGTGGTCTTTTTAGTGTTCCAAGTTTTATTACAATCAAGGATATGATAATTGTTGTTTGTTTGCTCAATGGCCTGATGCTGGTAGTCTCAAGTAGGGTGTACAGGTTATCAAAATATAATGTACTGGTAGTGGAAATAACATGAAATATTTTTATTATTATTATTGTTAGTAGTATTTAATTGGTTAGCTAATTAGTTGTTTTAGGTATTTATTTATTTTTGTATTTCAATTTTTTTCCAGATAAGCTGTGAACAAGCACTGGCAGCATTTGAAGCAAGACTAGAAATGGATGAGTTAGCTGTCTACCAAAGAGAAACTGAAACAATTATATACAAACCCCTTGTTGAATACACGTAAGTATGAGAGTGCAAAGTTTGTTGAAGGCACTCTTGTTAATAATGATATCATCAACTTTGTTGAGGGTGATTATCATGATATTGATTTCAACAACAGTAGCATTAATGATAATGATGATGAGGCTCTTGATAAAAGTAATGATGGCAGTATTGATGATGATAATAACAGCTGCAATAGAAATAATGGTAAAGGCAAATATGGAGATGACTATAATACTTCTTATTTGACTTACAGGGATTATGTTCAGCGATGTTTTGGCCCCTTCAGTGGAGTCATTGGTAAAACTGGCAATTACGAACGAGTAGAGAAAGAAGTAAGAGATCTTAGCTTCACTTTGCAGGAAAAGATTGACAGGCGGAGACGAGACTTAACACTTGGGTTGCCTCTGAATGTTAGGTAATAGTGAAGTTGTTTTTCTGAAATATTTAACAATTTTGCTTTCATCTATTTTATTTTACTCTGCCTCTTCTACCCCTTTTTCTCTTTCTTTCTTTTTGTTGTGTAAGGATTTCATATGAGCCATTTACTTCAAGAAGTGAAACCTAAGAACATGACTCCTCTTTCAGATCAAAGGTAAAGCTCACAACTCGCGACCTGAAGTTGGCTTTGAAACAGGCAACGATACTGATTGAGGACTTCTACCCCTCGCATGTCCTTAATCGCATCGTGTACCAACTGGGGGCAGAATCGACCGAGAGTGACATGGGAGCTGTGTTGAGCCAGCTGGATGCTATCCATGGGAGGAATGCATCTGGTCCAAAGAATGTAGGAATTCTAGAAAGGAGTATTAATAAGTCAGGATCAAGGAAGAGTGGACTACATGAGTCAAAGTTTGCCACAGTTGAAGAGTGGTGGGATAGCAAAGGACTAGCTGTGGGTGAGTTATGTTGTTGTGCTGTGTTTCATGCGTTTATTGTATATCCTGTTCATAACCTCCTGTGTGTAGGTGTTATATTAGGCTAATCCTCATTTTTTTTTTCTTTTTACCAGGTGACTATGCTGGGTTAGCATCGTTGATATTCACAGAGATATTTAGTTCTGATTTCCTCACGCCCATGGAGGAAACTGATACTAGCTTTCAGATGGAGGTATGTCTAATTTGTTTTGTGTGTTTTATTAGTGAAGTGAAGTGAAGTAGGACTCTGTGTTTTGTTATAGATAATTTATTTGCGAGTTTTTACAAAGAGTGACGAATCTTGTCTTTATCATATTTGCTTGTTAATCTTTCTTATTTGATTCCATTTCAAAGTTGATGTTATTTCTACAGAGTTTATTTATGATGTTTATCATGTCTATAAATTGAAATGAGACTTTGCTTCAATTTTCATAATTTCTACTTGAAGTTTTTAGATGACTGACATTTGATTGAATGTATATTTAAATATGAGTTGCCCCCTCAGGTCCATGGGGTAAGCTTGGCAAGATATACAGAGATGATGCGCTGTATGCCAGATAGACCTGACCTTGATGAGAAGTTGACTGTTCACACACCAAGAGGAAATATACAGGTAAGTAGCTGATTGTAGTTACGGTTGTATAGTTAAAGGATTTTTAGTCTTCCATGATTTATAATATATGACTTTGACCTATTTACCGCTGATGCCAACTGCTGGTTGGTCTTTTTGGATACCTTGGCTGTTTGGTTAGCCCAGACTCCTGGACTTGAGTGTTTTAACACATTGCATTGGATGGATTGTGCCCACTCCTTGCCTTTCACTACCAAAAGTAAGAAGTAATGCAATGTTTTAGTTAACTTCTGCTAGTTATATCTCGCAAATATGACATGTGGGTGACACTTAAGTTACATTGATAAATAAACTCTCTGGTGCAGCTGAAGTTGACTATAACTATATGCCATCTGCAGTGAAGGGATTGAGAGTTTTGTACCAGATTCTGTTTTAATTTAGTTAAAGAAATTTATATTGTGCATAAAAAAATAATCCTTAGCTTCATAATATTTTTAGAGTTTTTTTTATGATACATTTGTCTCCATAAGATCTGTTTAGTTTATTTTAGAAGTACAAACTATTTCATTTAACCTTCCCTAAAAATCACGTTGTCTGGTTGGAATCTCTTCTCCAGGTTCACGCTCCCTACCTAGATTTAGCAGCTTTCACTCCACTTGTTCGCCACGGAGTCCCAACACATCGCACGGGGAAAACAAGTCTTGCGGCTCGGCTCTCTCTTCGCCTTAATCTTGGACGCAGGATGGGTAAGATCTTTGGTAAGCATTAGCTAGATCTGAGTTTAACCCCTTAGGGACTTTTTGTCTTTGTTTATTTTTGTGAATTCACTCCCTCCCCCCATTTAAAAAGCACTTGCTTTTCACAATTTGTACAAAGTATGTGTTGTGAAAGACCAGATTGAATTTTATTGAGAAAGTGATTGTATGAGTAAGAATTTTTTAAATAATAATTTTTCCCCTTCCCAGTCCCATACACTTGTGTCCTCATTCATATATATAAACCACTTGCTGAAGCACTATCTATTAATACAGTGACATGAATTATGTACATCTAATTATCTCCCATTAAAATGGCATGTAAGACAATTGACTTTAAAGTGACCCTTACAAATTATTAAAACAATACATTGTCCCTTCTGCATAAATGACATTGGACCTGTGAAAGGTTATGAGTTTATCCTTACGGGGTTAATTTTAGTGTTGTCCCTTTTTTCCTCTCCCTTTTTTCCTTCTTTTTTTTCCCCTGGCAGTTCATATCATTTTGACTCTTCTCCCTTCTCACCCCTCCCTCTCCCATCCTTTCCCTTTTCCTTTCTCCTTTCCCCTCTCCCCTCTCCCTCTCCCTCTCCCCTCTCCCCTCTCCCCTCTCCCCTCTCCCCTCTCCCTCTCCCTATCCCTATCCCTATCCCTATCCCTATCACTATCACTATCCCTCTCCCTCTCCCCCTCTCCCCCTCTCCTCTCCACTTCTCTTCTCCCCTCCTGTCCCCTCCTCTCTTTTTTTTTGTTTTCTTTTCTTTTCTTTTCTTTTCTTTTCTTTTCTTTTCTTTTCTTTTCTTTTCTTTTCTTTTCTTCTCTTCTCTTCTCTTCTCTTCTCTTCTCTTCTCTTCTCTTCTCTTCTCTTCTCTTCTCTTCTCTTCTCTTCTCTTCTCTTCTCTTCTCTTCTCTTCTCTTCTCTTCTCTCCTCTCCTCTCCTCTCCTCTTTCTTCTACCTTTGCCTTCCCCCTCCCCCTTTAGCTCTCCCTTTCTGCTACCCTTTCTTTCTCCTTTTGCTTCCTCTTCCCCTTCTTTTTCCCTGTCCTTTTCATCTTTTTCCCCTTCTGCTTCCCCTTTACCTTCCTCTTTATTGTCCCTTTCCCATCTACTTTTCCTTCCTTCCTTCTTCCCCTTCCTTCCCTTTCTGGTACCTCATATGTTCTCCTTTGCCATCTGGTCCCCATACCCCTTTCCTTTAGCTCTCCCTTCCCTCTTCCCCTTTGCCTTCCTTTCCCCTTCCTTTTCTTGTTCCCCTTCCCCTCTTCTTCCTCGTCCCATTCTCCTACCTTTTCCCCTTCCCCTTCCCCTGCATCCCCTTTCCTTTTCCTTTTCCTTTTCCTTTTCCTTTTCCTTTTCCTTTCCTTTCCTTCCCCTTCCCCTTCCCCTCCCTCTCCCTCTCCCTCTCCCTCTCCCTCTCCCCCTCCCCCTTTCCCCTTCCCCTACCCCTTCCCCTACCCCTTTCCCCTTCCCCTACCCCTTTCCCTTCCCCTTTCCCCCCTTCTCCCTTCCTTTTGACCCATTTCACTTTCTCTTGCTTTTCTCCTCCTTTCTTCTCCCATGCCCTCCCTTCTCCCTTATACAGAGATGTGTGCTGTCTTGTTGTCAGCAGTATGTATGTCAGGCTTTGCAAGGTTTGATGTCATATAGTTAAATTTCTTTATGTTGTCTATGTGTTAATATGTGCATGTTTGATCAACCAGGAGCATGCATATTAGTTGTTTAGTTTTAGTGATTTTCTTTGGTGATTTCCTTGTTATGCCTCTGAATTTGATGGATCCTACTTTTTTCCCTTGAATATTTTGTTTATTACTCTATTGTAATTAGATATGTAGATAGTTGCTGTTCATATAGCATAGTGATTGTTTTTTGTATGTATGTTCTTTTGTTTGCATGTGTAGTATGTACATTGTAAATCCTTCCACGTATCAACTGGTCGTGCATGCATTCTTTGTACCTGCATTTGTGTATTTGCAACTTCATTTAATGTTTACAAAATTTTGAGATACATTGGAAAATATATATACTTGAAATACTGTATATATCTGTTAAAATGATAGGCAAAGGGAGAAACACAGAACAGTGCTAATTTCTATTCCTCAAATGTCTTGGCAGTGAGTGGCTGCAGAGTTCCTGAGAAGCTCCTGATCCCTCCTCCAATTCCCCATCCAGCACACATTGCTGTCATAATCCACAACAGAGAAGCGTCTGAACCCATTTCTCTTGATGCTCCACTTACTCTGCAGGTTTGTTTTTTATTGTTTATATTTTTTTCCACTTGTATTTGTAGCTTTAGAGTGTAGTGAAAATGAAATTGTGATATTTTTCATTACTGAAAATTTAGTGAATAGTTACATTCAAAAGAAAACTGGCAGTGAAGTAACCAGATCATGAAAACAATATGATATTGATAGTAATGTAATAGCTTGAGTGCTACATTTTATAGAGGAACTAATTTATGAATTTATAATACATATCTGTATCTTTAAATTAAGTTCTCACCAAAGGCATCTTGGAGTTGTATCTAATTGATGTCTTTCTCCAGGTGATCCGAACTATTGAAGATTCCCCCCATGTTGTTGCCACTCTCTCTCCTGTTTCGCTGGCTGATGATGGCACCCCAATATCCGATTCTCGATCCTCCACAATGTCGCATGATCAATCACTCTATGATGACCCATCCTTGTATGATGGGCCCTTTAGTAACACTTCACGATCAGGCACAGCAGATAGGAGAGGCAACCGCTGCTCACTTGGACGTTCCCGCACTGCTACCCTTGAAATGACAGCGACCTTGGACCGTGTAACTACAAGGGACCAACGCACAAGTCTGCAGGAGTACAATAGGTTGGTGTAATTGTTTTTTCTTTCTTTCTTTCTTTCTTTTAAATTTAATTTTTAAATTTGTCTTTTTCATCATCGGAACACAAACTTTATATGAATGGTTTGTTAGATAATTATGTCCTATTGAATGCTTTGACTGTCACATTATGTACACATTCATTATAAGAAGACATTTTAAATTTGGCAAGGGTTCTGCAACTGAGACTTGGAGATATTTTAATTCATAGGAAAAAACTAAGAAAGAATAGATAAAAACAATTCAAATAAATGTCTACAGATCTAGTACCCTGGAACTAACCCCAACCAGAATGGCTCAGAGGCTGGCAACCCCACTACGCTCTTTACTGGAAGGCCAGCGACCTTTTACAGTGTCCCTCAACTTGGCATCTGCTGAAGATGTCAGTCTCGAAGTTGAAGAGGAGGAAGAGCAGCCTATCCCTCTCCAGCCACTCACTCACTCCACATATACCACAGCTGTGTGATGAAAGGTTATGAAGGAAGTGCAGGTCCCTCTCCAGAGGCTTACAGATTTCTTGTGAACCCAGATATCTGCAGACTCAGTTTATCTCATATCTCATGTGATGTTCGTTGCTACCCTGTAGAATTGAGATAGGAGTAGCTGATCTCTTTACCACATACCCACTGTACCTTGTGCTATACTGTTGTGTGAACATAGGAAAACTTAGAGAAGAAACTTCCCTTCAGTCACTTCTTTTCTCCATATACATTCTCATATAGAAGAACAAACAACAACAATAAAAAACAACAAAAAAACATAAAAAATAAAACCAAAAGAACACAAAAAAAGAGGCAAGGAATACATTAGTTCTTTAATCCTCTTGGGCATGTGAATCACTGTGGGGAGCTGAGGAAGACTGAGGTAAATTGATAGCTTGCACACTTTTTTTTTTTTTTTGCTTATAACCACCAGGGCCTAGCTAATAAATGGCATTAGCAGGGGAAATGGAACACATAGGAAAACAATAGAAAGTGAACAAGTCACGCATTCATATAAAAGTTTGGTATTTTGCAGTGAGACTTATAGGAAATGCAAACAATAAAACAAAAGCTCTGGTAGTGTCTTATTTTCGTTTTCTATTTGTTTATGTTCTGTAACATTTGAACTAATGGATATTCACGATATAAGAAAGTTTTTTGTGTAACAAAGTGATTATAATAAACTGCCATTGCTATGCTCATTGTAGTGGGTTAGTATTAATTAATACCATTTAGGAAACATACACACAAGGAAATTATTTTCTAAATACCATTTTCTAAACAGAATGCTTCTAACCAGGCTAAGGAAGAAAGAAAACAACACATATCCATACAATATGTAAGTTTCACATATACCATGCTTAGATGTCGTGTTTTTTTTTCATAATTTAAAGTGTTTCTTATTTGATGCATAATGAAAAGTAAATTTCCAAAGTATATATGGATTCATTTTGCAAAAGTTCACCAGTGAAAAAAGAAAGAAAAAAAAGCAGGAAGAATACACAGAATTGGCTTAGTATTATATAAATGTGCCTCGGTTTTCACTATCAGTGCACTTGAAAGTTCTGTAGGTTAATATGAAAAGTACTCTTAGGAAAACTGCTAGCTTTAAGATTCTGTTTAAGAATGAAAAACGTTGATCACTATTTAAGAGGAAATCCTTTTTTTTTTAAAGATTATATTGTGGATGGATTTCAATTATTGACATTTTATGACTTTATTTATATTTTTATGTATTCTCACAAAAGCCTAAATTAATATTTATTGTTAATACTTTCACATGAAAACTTCATAGCTGAGAAATATTTTGCACTTCATAATAATGCTTATGAAAAAAGCAGGAAAAGAAGAAAAAAAAATACATATAGCATATGAATATATTTAATCACAACTTTATGATGTATGTATCAATCACTTTTATTTATTTATCACAATGATGATTTTCTCATCATTACTAATATTTTTTTTTTCATTATTCTTTATTATTACTGTTCTTGATATTACAGTTATTGCTGTTATGCTAATAATGACCATCATTATTGATGTTATTCTCAGAAGCAGTAAAATTATAAGATAAAATATAATAATCAGATGCATGAACATCATATGGATGCCACCAAATCTTGATTCAGATCCAAAATATAAGAATTATGTTTTTTTCAAAAAATTAGGTTAGTATTAGTGAACTTCAGTACCTGCATAGCACTCAAATGGTCAGTGATCCACCACGTTTTATATGCTAGGTTAGGGTCAACATTGTCAAGTGCTGTGTTATTTTTATGCACTGGAAAATTATTCATATGGGACATCTTCATGTGATTTAATTTATTGCATCTTTGATTTTTTTTCTCTCTTTATTTTAAGTGCTGTAGTCCTGGAGTTTGTGGTTTTCCCTTGGTCTGGAAATAAAATACGTACTATGAAGGAAAGATGGAAAAAAAAAACAAAAAAAAAACAAGTGGCTGTAGAGTCATTTGTAACAATCTTTTCCGATACACGCCTATGATCATTTGTGATATGAGAATGTTGTCCGTAAACAATATTCTTTTTATTACTATTATAAAAAAGAATTTTAATTTAGGTTTCAGAGATTTGTTCTGGACAGCGATTTTTATTTTTTTATTTTTTTTTATTTGCATAGGAAAGAATGTTCTGTTCTTCAGGTATAATAGATGTTTTCAAAATGAAAGAAGGGAGAAGAAAAAGAAAAAAACGACTTTTTGATTACTTTTCAGGCAGGCATTTAGAGATATGGATGAAGTCTTGAAGGTGATTTTTTCGAATTATATTAATTTGAACCACTTGTCAGAAAGAGATAGTTACAAAATTGATGCAAGTGTGTAATCTTCACGTCAAGATTAGGAGGCTGAAGATGCAGCTTAGTGGAGTTGCTCTTTAAAGATGGCATAATTTTTTTTTTTTTTCACCTGAACTTTAAATAAATTGGTTTTATTTATATGCTGACATTTTTATTATTGTTATTGTTGTCATTATCATTATTATTGTTGTTATTATTATTACCATTATTATGATTACTATTATCATTATCATCATTATTAATATTATTAATATTGCTCTCATGGTTATTATTATTTTTATAATTTTAGTGTTAATATGATTATTATTTAGTTTTTGTTGAATTGTTGTTATTATTTCATTATTGTTATCATTGATATTATTATCATCATTTAGTCTTTTTTTCACTTTGTAATGCCTTTTTTTACTGATGCTTTTTAAGTTGATATTTGGACTGTCTGAACTATTATCAGTGTTATGACTATTGACAGTCATCGTTATTGATAGTATTAGTAATATATTATTATTATTGACTTCATTTAATTTTATTTATTTATTTTTATTAGCTTTTGAAAATATTTTTTATTAACATTAACATTATTTTGATTATTACTTGTAATATTTTTATTATTACTTTTCAACCTTTGTTATTATTATTTTCATTTTCATCATATATAATATGCTTATAATTGTTTATTTATTTATTTATTTTTTATTTGTTTTACTCATTCTTATCAGGGATGTAATAGGCTTAGTTCCGTGTATTACTGGAACTCACAAGATGTATATTTCTGTGATTAATATTTGTGAATCTCTTTATAGTTTGTTTTTAGTTTTTATTATGATTATTATTATTTTCTCGCTGGCATTGTCTCAACTTGCTCTCTTTTTTACGCTGAAAATTGGAAACCATGCTTGTATTTTAATATGCTTTTTTGTACAGTATTTTGACAGGTGATAAAATATTCATATGTTTAGCATACAATCAGGATTCATTATCATATTCATATAGGATATTCAAATGTTACTAGTAGATTTCACGACTCATTTCATCCATCATAGAATTATTGTAGGTTTTTTTAGATAGATAGGATGAAGGATATTTCTTTCTGTCACATTTCAATTGGCAGGTGATATATTCTCAGTTGCTATATTGATTTCTATCTCTATGGTATACATTAGCATAATATGTTCATTTGAGCTTTTGAATCACCTTTATGTGGTTTGGGAGATCTAAATGTCCAAATATGCTATTTCAGACTTTGTTCCTGATGAGTTTTGCAGAGAATCTTTTATCTAAGATTCTTCTGTTGTGTGATCCATTAACAGTAGACTGCTTTTTAGGGTGTGTACTGTGATTATTTTAAACTAAAATATTTTGGGTTACTGGAACAGTAAAACATTAGAAAAAGGACGAGAGGCTATGATTGTGTGTACAGTGTACATAAGCTGTGTGCCCATTTGTAAATTTTGTAACATTTTTCTTCTTTGAACCTGATATCTTGCCAAAAATAAATATAGAACATGACTCTGGACTTATTTTTTTTACCTCAAGTAAAAGTAAGTATGGATAATAGGCATGATTTGCCATATAAGTGTATAAATGTCTCTTAAGATTGGAGGAACCATGAGATACCCCATAAAATATTTTTTTTATTTATATTATTTAATATTGATAATGACAAACCATTTATGCTTAAATTGCTTAAATGTGGTACATACATGTACAGTGCTAGCTGTTAGTTGTTCTGAAGACTAGGGGAATCTAATATATATATTATAAAAAAATTATAAAGTGGATAATGAAAAAAAGAGAACAAGATGATTATGAAAAGAAATACAAAATGGTGCAGAATCAGTATGTTCTGAATGGAAATGGAAAGTGCCAGGCTATGATTTACACATTTTATTGTAATGTGCTTCGTGCATTGAGTCTTTCCCCGGTGATGTTACTAACGGAAAAGCTCATACAGTTCATTAACTCTGTTACTTTTCACTGAAGTTCACTAAGTTTCTTCACTAATTCAAAGAGTGCCACACCAGAAGTTTCAAGTACATTTGTGTGTCCCAAAAAATGTCATTACAATTTGCTGACATGTTTCCTCATAGAAACGTTGACAACAACACGAACTTTTGTTACAGGTATTTATCAAGAAGACAGTAGTATTTGCCTTCTAAATACTCCCTTAATTGCCAGAGAAATTGAATTTGTAATCAACTCTTATATAATGAGGTTGTAATGCCAGCTCATAATCTCGCCTAAGTGATTCATTGCTGTCACCAGGCGAAGGTAACTAACGGTAGCTGCAAGCTGTAATTCCGTTTTCTTTAATTCATCCCTGGATGTTTTTTCCTTACTGTGACTTTGGAACACTAAACGAATATATATGTTTGTGTATGTATGTGTGTGTGTGTGTGTGTGTGTGTGTGTGTGTGTGTGTGTGTGTGTGTGTGTGTGTGTGTGTGTGTGTGTGTGTGTGTGTGTGTGTGTGTGTGTGTGTGTCTCTCTCTCTCTCTCTCTCTCTCTCTCTCTCTCTCTCTCTCTTCTCTCTCTGTCTCTCTCTCTCTCCCTCTCTCTCTCTCTCTCTTTTGAATTGAAGCATCAAGTCCATGAGTAACCGAGGTTTTTAATATTCCGAGAACTCAGAAGTGAATGTGCCATCGTCTATTACAGCAAACAAGGCAAGGGCAACCTTTCCGACACCATTACTCAATTCTCGCCATCATAATGACTGACTGTAGGAGAAAGAATTGCCAGTGGTTCAAACGTTAACGAGTTACCGGATTTGGAGTGCTGCTATCTTATGTAGGGGGAAATTATCCAATCTAGAGAGATCAGCATGGGGTTGAAGGGAAATGTTAATCTCAACATTGTGATACGTGAGACTATCCCGAAGTCATTCCAGAAAGCCCCAGATACTACACGTAGCCTAGGACGCAAGGCACGGTGGTCAGCAGTCGAGAGAGGAGTCAAAAGTAGCGGTATCTGTAAGATAAAATAAGTTCGTATCTGGAATAGGAGGGGTATAATATCTGTGGGAGAGCTTGAGTGTGTCGAAAGGAGTGTTTACCTGACTGTATGCATTTGATTAAGGCTTTGTTGTTCTTAACCTGTATAACCCTAACGGGGCCCTCAAAACGAAGAGCATGCTTTAGTTTCATGCAAGAATAATGATGAGTTCTTGTAAACACTTTAGTTATACATTCAATAGCGTTATGTCGAGCTACTGTAAGGTAAAAGGAGAACATTTGATCCGTAGAGTTTGATATTGCTTCGTGTTCTGAAAGATAGAATTGTTTCTGTTGAGGATATAATCAGCATAATTATCGTTATCAGCAGGGGCCTTTGTTTACATTAAAAAATGTAGGGTAACCTGTTATCCATGCCATATAGAAGGAAATGAGGAGATTAACCTATGGAGAAACGGAAGGTACCATTAATGCTAAGAGTAATTCATCCCATGTGCCTAACGTCTCATCAGCGAGTGATCTCATTAAATGAAAGGACGGGTGAATTTAACCTTTCAGTGATACCGTTACTCTGGGGTCGGTAATAAAATATCTAAAGCGGATCGCACTCATAATCTTACGCAATTTATCTTTGACCTGGTTCTGAAATTCCAGTCAATTTTCACAAGAAAAACGCATTGGGGCAGAATATTTATGACAAATGTCACTAAAAGCTTGAGCAATCACACTTGCTGACTTGTTAGGGTCAGGGATTAACTCGCAAAAACGAGTGAAATTATCAATACAATCTAAAACATAACGATTCCCGTTGCGATACAGCATAGAGACAGACAACGTAGAGCGAGAAATCTGAAAGCGAAAGTTTGGGTTATCGTACGTTAATACGGGTGCAGCCTCATTAGTGCTTAATTTATAGTAAGGGCATTGTTTACATGACTGCGCATGATTAAATACCTTGCTGATAAGGTCTGGGAAAAAGAAGCGCTGTCGACCTAAATGAACTGCTTTGTGCTTACCGCTTTTGTTTTAAGAAAAAGGGGAAGGATTCGGCCTTCCAATTCTTCAAGAATAACTACCACACGTTCACATGATGCATTAAGCTTCTATGATTTATGCCTAGACTAATAGCAAAGGCAGAGGTTTTTAATTTCTCCCAAGCACTTGAATTAAGGGACCGTATAGCCGAATCTCGCCTTCCGTGTGTGTGTGTGTGTGTGGGGGGGGGTCCAGAGGAAGGCACCTGCAAAAATCCTCTGGCAAGATCTTAGTGAAAACACCCTTTTATTACAGCCAATGCCTTGCAGTAACAAGCTAAGATGAGGTTAGCTTTCTGATCTACTGCCGGGAGTAAAATGTTAAAAGTAATTGGTGGAAGCCCAGGGGGGAAAAAACTCATGTCTAGCATTGCTCTAACGCCCTTGCATGAGGCATCCTATAGCCTGGTATGCATAAAGGCTTCACGTCACGCTCAAGGGTAATAGAGTGTTGAAGTAATGTTATTTTACCGATAGAACATCATAGTTGTTCGCAGCACACTCGGGAATTCCTTCAGTGTAGTTTGCAAAATATCATATCCCTCAGGAAGGGCTAGGGGTTGTAAAATATAAGGAGGGCTGTCGTTGTAAGGGGAGGGAGTTGATGTAACAACAAAGCAAACGGGGAGAGGACTGGCAAATCAAATTCCTTGATAAGTAAGTCTAAGATATAATAGGTACACACGCATTTATAGTTATTGGGGCAGGAGTCATGACAAACACCTGTACCTGACACTTTACATGTATATTATCAAGTAAAACCAAAGTGAGGAATGAATTTCCATTATGGGCTTAAGTAGTTCAGCCTGCGTCCAATGGCAGGAGGGAGTCCTCAGGGAATATATGCATCCATTAGAAATAATGTTATTACGTGAAATTCTGGTACGACAAAGAAAATCATAGCCTAGCAAGAGATGCTCAAGAGACAAATTTGACTCCACTACAACAAACTTATGAGCGATTTTATTACGGAAAACAATGTTGAGGACCTTGTTGCCGTTGGCCGACTCAGTGCTGCCTATTATCCTGCTAATGGTGATATGAGTAGGTTGCACAACGAACGATAATACATGTTTATCATTTAACATAGAGGATAGGTGGCTGAGATTCATCATTAGGGATGCAACTAGGATAGAATGTGGTGTACTCTGCTTGTAGTGTTGCCATATCTGATCTTCTCGCAGTTTTTCTGTAAAAAAATGGCGATCTGCTTTTCGTTGTTGGAGCAGGTGATGAGTTCGGTTTACCTGGTCGGGGACCGTCGCGCTGTCCACCCGTGGGCGAGAAAGGGACCCGTGGTGGGGGCACGACTCTGGACTCAATAAGTGACAAGAGAGTGGCTGCGCTTAAGTGAACCAAGTAGATATGAATTATGAGTGTGTTCTTTGTCCTATGTTATATTTGTTATAGTTCGTGGGTGTGTTCTGGCGTGTTCCCATGATATGGTTGTTATACCAAGATAATTGTGGTTTTGTTTTCCCAAACAAATGTTTTTTTTCTTTTTTTTTTCTCCTTTTGCTTGGGTCTGGTGATATGCGTGTTGTTTTATGTTTGTGTTTGTTTTAATATTGTTGGCTTTTTCTGTTCCTGAATTGAGACACATTTCTTAATTTGTACCCTTATGTTGTTTAATGAAAGATGTCATGTCATCCGCGGACAAGGCCGTAGTTTAATCTAAATGAGTCTTGCAAGGATGATGTTCTGCATCTAACGATTTGAAAAAAAAATCGAAAGTAACCTTGAAAAAGTTCCACGCAAATGGAGTGTATTTCTCACTTTCGCCGGAGTTAATTCTTTTCAAGACACTCATCCCTGAACAATCAGGAAGTACCGTCGAATTTCTGCAAATGTTTATTGAGGTTGGATTGGCATGGTGGAGGTGGACTGGTGCTTTATGGAAGAGCAGTCACGGAGGAGGAATTTTCTTTACGCAGAGCAGGAGGTTATTACTTCAGGATCTGCCTGCTTCGTAGTTCATTCATGAGTAGTTGTAAAAGAAAATGAAAAGACGTACGGTATACTTAAAGAATCATAAACAGTGACTTAGGAATTTCGGGGACATAATTCGGTAACCCACGACACAACACTCGGATGGCTATGACTAAGGTGGAAAAGAAAAAGAAAAAGGGACACGAAGACTTTTATTCTCAAGTAGAACTCACCTTCATTTCTGATGTATGCAGAATTTCCTTCTCGTTGGGCACACTGTTGCTGAAAAGACTAATAAGGCAAGACCGGTATCTATGAGAGCGAGGGTGTTATACCTGCCTGCCACCAGTTACAGGTCAGGTGGCATGGTATCGAAACCCCACCACCATTTTTTCGGCAAATTAGTAAATATTGACGATTTCTGCTGCTAATTAGTCGGCGCTCTCTACGAATGGTTCACAGAACAGTTATTATGTGACTAATAAAGTCAGCAATGCCCAACGCCCAATGACCATGCCCTTTGTCGGCAAATTTGAAACAATACACCCCCCTGCAATGCTGCCTTCCCGACGGCCCTGCCCACCACTGCCACCAG